AGAAACCTATATTATGAATAAATATGAGAAAAAAGTTTGCCTCACTACTAAACAAAGTTTAATTCAAATTAAAACAAGGTACCACTTTGGCAAATATTTATAAATGATAATGCCTAGCGTTGAGGATGAGAAAAATACATTTATATGCTGTGGGGGAACTGTAAACTGGGACAACTTCCTGGTGGGCAATTTGGCATTATGCTCCAAAAGCCTTTAAAATGTTCATTTTCTTGGATCCAATAATTTCCATCACTTCTATGAACTTATCGCAAGAAAATGATTACCTCTACATACACAGACTAAAGCACATGGACTCAGCCTGCCGTTTGTAAGAGTGAACAACTGGTCATAAATTCCATATAGAATAAAAAAGGACGGGTTAAATAAATTGTCCTCCAACAAGTAAATTATTTTAAAATCAGAAAAATGGCACGCATTATTTCTAAAGTTTATAAGAAAATATCATGGAGTGTTAAATAGAGAAAAAAAGCCTCTGGAGGCCAAGAAGTCAGTTAGTCTTCCAGGAGTAAGGTCATGAAGACAAAGGAGCGGATGGTAAAAGTGAGAATTTGGAGGAAGACAAAAACTTTCTAAACGGGCACTGTCCAATATTATAAATATTAGTCATACGTGGCTATTTAAATTTAAATTAATTAAAGTTAAACATAAAAGCTCAGTTCCTTAGTTGCCACATTTAAAGTGCACACATTTCAAGCCACATTTGAAGTGCTCAATGGCCACAGGTGGCTAGTGGCTACGGTGTCAGACAGCTGAGATTACAGAATGCTCTAGTCATCGCAGAAAGTTCTATCGGATGGGGCTGGTCTGAACCTTCTGCCTCAGGACTGGGGGATCCGCCGTGGCCTCATCTCTGGGTACACTTCTTCTCATCCTTCACACTCCAGCAACAAGAGCATAAGCATCAAAGGACAGAGACCATATCTGTCTGTTCTCCAGTGTAGTAGGGGAGACGCATTACCCAGGGAGCTACACACAATGCTCTGTGGAATAGCAGATAGATGCATAGACTGTCTCAGCTGGGGGTTCAGGGTAGGCTTCCCAGAGGAGGAGGGGTAGGCATTACCCAAAGAGTAAAGAAAAGACTATTCTAAGTAGAGAAAAGAGCATGCTATGAGTAAAGGCACAGATGAGAAAAAGCACAGCATAAGGGAAGAAGTACCAGCTGGTCAGGCAATTTATTCATTCAACAGATGGTAACTGTGTGTGATGGGCCGGCCTGACCAGGCTCCAGGGACACAGCAGTGAACAGAACAGCTATGGTCCCTGTCCTCATGATGGTTACACTCTCACCCCGTACTGCCGGACCGCCAGGGGTGAGGCGAGGGGTGCAAGGGCCTCCCGCCTCACATTACGGGTCCTGGTTCGTTTGGTTTTTATCCTAGCGCTTGAACCCCCTTTTCGGTCTCAGTGAGGGCTAGAGTCCCACCCCTGTCTTTCTCCTCGTCCCCCCTCACTGCTGTGGGAGGCGGAGAGCTCCTGGGGCGCGGGGTCAGGCAGCGCAGGGGCACAGCCGACAGTTCTGGTGAGACCCCTCCGGCGGCCAGCGAGGATGTGGCCTTGAGAGGTGAGAGAATAAAGACGGGAAGTCTGTTTGGGAGGCTGCTGGAGTCATCTAGAAGAGGCCCGGGGCCTGAGAAACGGCAGGGCCGACTTCAGCGAGGGTGGAGCGGCAGTAGGCGCTCCAAGTTGAGAGTGCCCTCAAAGGAAGGCTCTGGCCGAGCAGAGGCGGGGAAAGGCGTGTCCGCGGGGCAGGTTCCAGGGAGGAGAGGGAACCGAACATCTCAGGAGAGTTCCCCAGGCCAAAGGAGGGGGCCCAGGGGGAGGGGCCGGGGCACCCCCGCAGAGGACAAGCGTCGGCGGGTCGGAGGGGCCCCGCGTGTTGGGGACCACCGGGCGCCAGGATGGGCGGGGCCGTGAGGCAGCAGGTGCGCGTTACCTGCGGGGCGAGGATGGGGCGGCGGAGCTGGGCTGGGTCCCGGGGCACCGCAGAGAGGCTCCCCGGAGGAGGGAGACCTCCCCTGGACGTCAGGGGGGCTATTTCCCGACCTTGTCCTTGAGCATTTACAAGAGGCGGGCAGGGCACGTTGCCCACAGCCCGGAATCCGCCCGGAGCCTCGGCTTTGCTCGGGGCCGGCCTCAGGACCGGCGCCTTGGGGGCGTCTCCTCGGGTTTGGATCCCCGACCCCCGCCAGGTGTTTCTCGGAGGCGACCCCCTCCTGCACCTGCCGCTCGGGCGGCCCAGTCCCCCTTGAGCCCCGGCCGCTCGGCCCAGGCTCCTCGCCCGATCGCCGAAGATCCCCCCAGCGACCCCTCCCCGCGCCGCGGCCTCGCCACCCTGGGTCCCCTCAGACCGCCACCCCCCACGTGGCCCGCCCGCCGCACCCCTCCCCGGCCGCGGTACCTGGGGCTCTCGAAGCTGCACCCCCTGCGCCGCAGCGCCGCCCTCTTCTGCCGCAGGAGCGCAGCGGCCGCCCAGCCGGGCTCCGGCTCCATCGCCCCGGGCGGGGGCCGCGGGCTCGGGCGCGCTCGGGTGGGCTCGGGCCTCGGCGGGGCTCGGCGGGCCGCTCGGCTCTCGCGCCGCAGCCCACGCCCCGCCCCGCGGGCCTGCCGGGCCCAGGCCCCGCCCCGCCCCGCCCTTCAGCCCAGCCCGCTCAGGGCCCCTCAGGCTGGTCCCCAGGCTCCGCCCCGGCCCCGCCCCGAACTTCAGCCCACCCTCACTCTGTACCCCCCCGCCCCCACCTCAGCCGGGCCCAGGCCACCGCCGCCCCGCCCTGAACTTCACCCGGCCCACTCCGTGCGCCTCTCACCCAGGTCCAGGCCCCGCCCAGGCCCCGCCCCAAAGGTCATCCTAGCCCGACCCCCGCGACTTCACGGGATCCAGACACCGACCCGGCTCCGCCCCGAACTCAACCCAGCCCACTCCGTGCCCCTCAGTCGGCTCCAGGCCCGGCTTCGGCCCCGCCTTGAACTTCAGCCCCGCCCACTCCATGCCCCCCTCAGCGGGCTCCTGGCCCCGCCGTGGCCCCGCCCCGAATTTCATCCTAGCCAGCCGTGCGCAACACCGCGGGGTCTACGCCCCGCCCCGGCCCCACCCACGATTTAGCCCCGCCCACTCCATGCCCCTCAGCCCCGTCCAGGCCACGCCCCTTCCCCGCCCCGTATTTCCTTCCAGCCCGCCATGCGCAACTCCTCGGGGCCTACGCCCCGCCCTGCCCCCGCCCTGCCCCCGCCCCACCATTTAGCCCCGCCCACCCCGTGACCCTCAGCCGGGCCCAGGCCCCGCCCCGGCCCCACCACGCGCCCTAGCCACGCCCCTCCCAGCCCGGCCCGCCCCGCCGGGATCCAGCACTGGCTCTCCGCAGCTCTGCTCAGCCTAGAAGGTCAAAACGCCCACCCGGTCCTCAGCTTTGGACGGTCCACTGCCCCGCCGCCCCCGCCCCTGCCGCCCCTCAGCACAGACCCGTGCCCCGCCCACCTACCCCCGACTATTGAGCTTCCGCAGGCCCTCGCCCTAACCTCAAGGGTCGGCTCCCTGGAGCATCGCCCCTTCACGCCCCACGACCTCCCGGCCCTTTCTAACGGAGCGCCGTCCCCTCTGGGGGCCGCCCTTCCCTGTGCCCCGCCCACAAGCACAGCCCCGCTTTCTCTCTCCAAAGCCCCCAGTCCGTGCGGGCCGCTCACTCCCCGGGCTTCCTCAACCTCCCCCGCCCCGCCCCGGCCCCGCCCCGCCGGTGGCCCGTCCACTCCGCCTCACCTCCGCGGGCGTCCAGGCGCGGGGCGGGTACAGTGCCGGCCCTCCGGGCTAAACAGGCGTCTACCGTGCGCTCTGCATTGACTCGCGGACCTCTCCGTCCTTCTAGAGGAGCTACTGCCGTCTCCCGGCGGCCCTTTGTGGCGCTGGAGGCAGGGAGGGGCTGGAGATTTGCAGACTGCCGGTCGTGGGTTCAAGCCTTGACTTCGTCACTTTCCAGCTGTGTGACAGCCACCACATCCCACCGTCCTCACCTGTCCCCAAGTCACACGCATCCGTGTTAGAGCGCTGCACTGTGGCTGAGGACAGCGACCCCATCTGGGTAGGGCTGGGGGCCACAGTGCCATCTAAGTCCTGAGGAGGTGAGCTAGGGCCCTGCAGCAAGCGGGGCTTGTCGTGGCTAGGGAGGTGTGGCCATGCTGGCCTGGAACTGGGAGCACATGCTGGAGCAGAGCCTGAGGAGTGTGTATGTGTGAGCCTGTGCTTGGAGAATCAGCCACTGCAGCTTTGGAAAGCACTAGCTGGGAAACTGAGGCAGGCAGGGCCAGGGGCTCCCCTGATCAACTTGGATCATGTCACTCCCTGGCCCACACTCCCTCAGTGACTTCCAGGTGCCTTCCTGGTAAGGCCTGGACTCCTTTGCTCCTGCACATCCCAGCAGAGGAGCCGGTCCGGAGAGAGAAGGGGAGAGAAAGATGTAGGGGGCTTTCCATTGCTCTTTCCAGCCCCTTGACACTCCTCCTTGGTCCTCCCCTCAGGTTTCCATGAGACGACCCGTGTAAGACAGTCCCCCTTTTCTCTTAGGCAAGCTAGAGTGGGTTTCTGGTTTTGCCCGGCATCATGAACTCCCCCCGGCATATCTTTTCAGACGTGGATCCCGTTACTCCTCCAAGTCCTTCCCTCAGTGAGACTGGGTGGCCTGCTTGCCCAGCCTCATCCTGCTCCTTCTCCTTTCTGGCTCCTTGCCTCCCCCTCCCTCCATGTGTTCAGAGATCTCTGAATCTCCAATGCCCCTGCCTTCTACAGCCTCCCCAGATCCCCCACATCCTTCCCTGAGTGCCGCCCGCTTCAACTCTGTCCCTCCCTGGGGGCACTGCTCCTATATGTCATTTATGTTCTAGTAACCTCTTAGCTGGGCCCTGAGCGCCCCACACCTCCTCCATGTCTGTGTCTGGCACAGCAACTGTTTGCTAAGTGAATGCACATGACTTTAATAAATTGAGCAATATTCATTGGAAAACACATTTAATTTCAAAGTAAACAAAGATGTTTGTACATTAAAGTATTTAATTAGCGAAACAATTATTATCAGTGTAACAAGCTGAAAAATACAGCAACTTGATACAAGACTGAGGTAACAAAATACTTCACCAAAAATCTAAAGATTCCCACGGAGGGCTGATGTTCAGTGGTTATTGTGGGTGAGACAATTCACAAGAATTAGGAAAGTCCTTATACAACTGCATGCAGGGGGTCTGCTGGAAAAAAAGACAGCCCAGGAGAGTGCAACAGATTTAACAAGAAACGAATTAAAATGTAGAAACTGATTTTCAACTTACTTTGAAGAATACATAAGAAATTGAAAACTACTCTCTACGCAACATTTTGAATGCTAAGTGGAAAACCATGCATTTTGGCACGAAATTTATCAAAGATTATACCATACTAATAAATTAATTTCTATTGTTTCATTACTGAATGGTCACAGTCGTTCAGAAATGGATAAAGAGATGAGTGGTTGTAAAGGACAGATGATCCATCGCACTGTGCTGCGAGCAGGCATGTCAGGGCTGCCCATGGCGTACGCACACTTGTGCAGCACAGGGCTGCAAGGTGGCCCATGGGACAAGTTCTGAACATCCAAGAAACGCAGCTCTTGCTCATGCTTCACTTGCATTTAACACTGAAATTAAACCCAAAAACCTCTGAAGTAAATACTGCGAACATTCTGACCCTACTCTCTCATTCCCCCTCAGTCCTCAATGTCCCAACCACAGCTCTGTGCCTGGCTGTTCTGTGCCATCCAGCCTCCAGGACAGTGACTCCATCTAGTCCTCATTGCAACTGAACTCACTGATCAAGAGGCTGGTCAGTCTGGTGAGCCTTTTGAAGCCTTTCTGGAGGAACCTGCATAGGGTTTGTACCCAGTGCTAGGAGAGAGGCAGGGTCTTGCCAGCAGAGATGGCGTGGTGAAAATTATTTGTTCGTTGAGTGGTCAGCTCCACGAGGCCAGGGTTCGGGTCTGTCTTGTTCTCAGCCGTTTATATCCCGGGTGGAGCCTGGCACACGGGAAGCACTCGCTAGAGAGGTGGATGAATGAAGGAATGGGAGGATTTGCGCGGAGAAGCTATTTCAAAGGGACTCTTGTAGTTTTTTTTTTTTCTTTTTTAAACATGAACTCACCCAGCACGTCAGTATGATGTGGGGCTGAGGAAAGTCATTTATGAAGTCACAAAAAATAAGTTAGCTTGTGTCGTTAGCAATGTTCACCTGGTTAGAAGCATCAGCGATGTGCGTGCAGAGCTCTAGACGCCACCTGTGGAATGAAAGCAGACCCTGCTTGCGAACAGCTTCCTATTTTCAGGGACCATTTTCCACCTGTAAGATGGCATCATAAAAGATACACCTCTTGGGCTTGGGAGGTGAGAGGAAGACGATGAAAGAAATAGTCATCTTGGTAAGAAAAACAATGCTTTATAAATTCAGTTGGCAAGAGAGAGTGGGTTCTTTCCTAGGCAAAATGCCTTCAAGTTCTTCCTCTTTACTTCCACAGGGGGGCAGCATGAGGAGCGGGCTTCTTCAGGGAGGGAGGGAGGCCACATTCCCTCCCTGGGCACACTCGGAACAACATTTGTACTGCTCTGCACCACATCAACCCTCCACAAAGTATGTCACTTGTCAGAATGCACTTGGCTGACCTTGAGTTACAAAACTTGTTCAACTGAGAGGGGCAAAAATTACTTCCGGGGAGAGGTAAGTAAGCTGTTCTTGGGGCATCACAATGATACTGGCTACCTACTCCACAGTTTGTAGACAGCATTCTATAATTTTCATTCTGGGGTGCCATGATCTGTTTGCTTAAAAAAAAAAAAAGATACAGCACATGCATGCAGGACATACCACCTTCAATGGTTTCACAAATATTTGTGCACTGCGGACAGCCAAGGAGTAAAACCCAGAAATGCGTCCGTCCAGGGTGAGAATTCACTCTTGGACTGTCCCCATTGGGGTTTGTGCCCGGCCTCCTCGCCTGCTGCTTGCGGGACAAACCAACACTAGGAAGGCAGTCAGCACTGAACTCACAGGTTGGCCCTGCACCCACGCTGGGAGTGCTTCAGCTCCGTCTGCAGGACTCTCCTGGTAGCTTCAAGGTTCTTACCACTTCTACAAGGACTGTGCCAACAAGGTCTAAACGGATTCTTCAAGAGTCCAATCTAAGAATGCTTCTGGGATGGGATGTGGGACCAGCCTCAATTCGTGAGAAGACTAAACACTTTGACAAGAATTGCGATTGTGCTATTTCAAAATTAGGCTCAGAAGAAAACATTTGTGAAAGACGAGAAAAATTTGTGAAGGGCAGGAAATTAACTGATTGAGTGGAGCCTGAAATTCTGAGGCTTTTGGATTGGCATCTATATTTCATGTGAGAAAAACCAGGGGAGTTTGAAGAGTGGAGAAACCCAAGGAAAATAAGTAGCTGATGGTCCAGTCTCACACTTTCATCCAAACTTCAGACTTTAAGAAAATGAACAGGTAGAATCAGATTCAGTGTAGGTGAGAGCAATAACACGGCGGTTCTGGGGAGAGCTGTTTGCAGCGTCTGGTGTTTTCATTCAACCTCGTTGAATGGTCGTGGGTACGAATTCGGTGCACGCATCTAGACCTGGCTGTGGGTGGGTGTGAAATGCTCCAGTGGCCAAGGTTTGCTGGCATTAGCTCTACCATCTGGAGTTTCTCCTGGCACAAAAGTATTCTAGAGTTTGTTCCAAAGGGGGGTCAGTTACTGAGCACAGTAAGGCTCGACCACAAAATAAGACCCTGATGACAATTCCTTTCCTCACCCTTTCATTCAAATTTTCAGAAGAGTCGTCACCGTTTGATCAAAATACACTGGTGGGTCCTTTAGCAGTTTTTAAACTGACCTATTACAGTTTCCTGGTTAAGATGCTGTTGGAACCACCTTGCCCAGAAACGCTTAAGGGTAGTTTGATATGTGATCAGTATGAGCTCTGAAACCATAACAGTGACAAGGACTCAGAAATTCAGTCTCTTTCAGAAAACTATTGAAGGGTTTCCTTCTCAGAATGAGGACACCCAGATCAGAGACAGAGAGAGAAGTTGTGGTGATAAAGCTACTATAAATAAAGCTAATTTTTATTCATTATTTTGAATAAAAATGTATTTGTGCAAAATAAAAGTCACTTAAGAATACGACAAAGAGTGACAGAGGAAGGACGTTGTTCACATGGAGAGCTCTTAACTGAATGCAGAGCTCGGACCGTTCACTCCCCAGGGCTTGCTCTCTTGTCACCACGGTCATCAACAATTGTGCCCTTGGACTTGGATGATGGAGAACTTGCTGGTGACTGTGTTTAGGGGCAAGATTGGGAGAGCTTAAGGCCTCCTGTCACTCAGCTCCCCAGTGTAATCAGGAATCGCAGTGGGCCACCCCGGCAGTGGAGGCAAAGGGGTGAGATGATGGGGGCCAGAGCCTTGCCCCGCGGGGAGAGGTTGATGCAAAGTAGCTGCTGGGCGGCTATTCAAGAGAGCATGGCGGCTTCCGAGCTGCTGCTGAGAAGCTGGGAGAAGGTGTCACAAGTTCCCCTTCTGGCATGGTGGGAGGGAGTGAGAAGAGAAGAGCCTTCAGACCCCGAGGGAGGGGGATAGGAGGAAGCAAGCAGGCCAGTGGCCCAGTCCACAGTCCTGAAGCCAGGTCCTGCCTCTGAAGAGCTGACAGCAACAAGGCCTGGAAGGGACCCGGGGGCCAGGGAGCAGGCCTTCCAGATGAATAGCACCCATAGGAACAGAAAACAAGACACAATTTAAGGCATTGTTGTTTACAGTAAAAGAACGCAAGGGACCCTTAACACAGGAGGAATCTGGGCTCTCACTCTGACCTTCCACGATGGGCAAGGCTGTCACTGAAGGTTAAAGCAGGGCCTCAAAGTGAATGAAGTGTGTGATGTCACAAGTCTTGTGCCAAAATGCATGTTTCTCGAAGAGTCCACACTCGCTCGCGCACACACGTATACGGCACGCACACTCAGAGGACGCTTTAGGGGTTGTACAAAATCTGAGGCAGCCCTGTGGGCGAGCAACCCCGTGCACTTGGGGTGTAAAAAGCCAGTTCCACAGCCTGTTCCTTCTCTCTGGCCCCTCAACACAGGTTAACAGTGTCCACTCTTCTGCAGGAGAAAGCACTGGGGACCCACCGTGGGCCGAATGCTCTCTAGTCGCAGCAGCAGCTCGTGGACGGACGAGGGCCCAGAGAGGGAGGGCGGGGTGTACAGTTTGGGGTCCAATCACGGCCCAGTGAGGTGGCGCTGCAGAATGAGTGTCATGAGGGTCGCTGGGGATTGGCAGGTGGATCCAGCACTGGTGGAGCCCTCCGGACTGTGAGGCCACAGGCGGGGTCCCCTTGAGTTCGGCTGTGGGTCTCCCAGCACCCTGGCCAACAGCCTGTGTCCAGGACCTGCGCTTCACCACCAGTCCCAGGCCAGGCTCCCAGAAGCCTCTGAAGTCACGCCAAGTCCTGCAGAGACTTACTCAAACGACATAAGGTTTGCAGGTACCTAGAAGAGAAAGCTCAGCCTCTTGTCACAGTTCCAACCTTGCAGACGGGGACAAGGGCTGGTCCCTAAGGGAAGGGACCAGGCCTTTCCCAGTCAGTCTGTGAATGAGCAGGTCAGGTGGGGAGAGGACACAGCAGGAATAACAAGCGCCATTTGCTAAGTGACCACTGCGTGCCAGGCATTGCTCTGAATACTTCATATGTGCATGGCCTCCAGTCCTCACAACAGCCCCGTGAGGCAGGTACTGGGAGGATCCCCATTATAGAGATGAGGAAACTGAGGCTTAGAGAGGTGAAGTACACAGCGACCAAGTAGCAGGGCTAAGACACCAGAGCCCACGCTCTCAACTGCTATCCTTGGGTTGAAATACAGCTCCATTTGGAGTGGAGAGGAGACGAATAGGCATATGCCTCCAGAAGGGAAACCAGTGGGGGGAAGCAGGGGGACAAGGGAGGCAGGAATTGGCAAATGAAAGCACACGGAGGAAGTCTGGGGATATTGGGAACCCTAAGACCTTCCCATAGCTGTGTCCCCAGGACAAGATCCCAGCTTCTACGGGGGGACCGCCAGCCCAAGGTCAGTGTCTTTACCCCTCCCTTCCAAGCTGCTAACACGCCCCTAGCCCCAGGCCCCCCTGCCAGCACTGCTGTGGGGTTCCAGGAGATTTGATGAGAAGCAATTTCATCAAAAACAAATCCACACTGGTATCAATTTGGTCAAAACGATGAACTGGAAAAATTGCATCTCCTTGCACCAGGAGACAGCTATAAGAATGGCCACAGCAGTGTTGTTCAAAATAGCAAAATGCAGGAAATCATTTTTGGAATCACTGAGAGAAGACCTGATAAAAAAAGTCAGTACAAATAAATGAATGACAGCTGTACACACTGACACAGATGAATCTTAGGAACACACTGTAGGAAAAAAGCAAGTGACAGAAGAAAATGTACAGTTATGGTTCTATTTATAAAAAAAGTTTAAAAAAAATGTAGCCCAGACAATACCTTAAGGAAGGGAGGGAGGAAGTGGCATTAGGAAGAGGGCCCTGGGGCTGGGAGCGCTTCCAAGGCCCTGGGCGCCCTGCCTTTAGGCTGGTGGGTGGGTGGCGGGTACAGGGGTGTTTTGTTTTATTGCTGTGGTTCACACCTTACACATACCTTATAAATAAGGTTTAAGCGTATTCAGTGCTAGTAAAAACAATTTTAAGAAATGCAATTCTACAAAAAAGGAAACGAATCTGAGCCACTGAGATTTCCCAGGAGGCTAAGGCACTTCTGTGACGCCCTCGTCGCTCCCTCCCGGTACATCATCACACGAGGCACTGTGGCTTACTGAAATAATCCTCTGCTGCGGGATATTGAGTTGTTGCCAACTTCTCATTATTGCGCACGGCACCGAGTGGGAGTATTTGGTTGAAAGTAAATTAAAAATAAAAGGGGGGAAAAGTGGAAAAAATAAAAGATCCGCCTCCTAAAAATAGGACAAAAATACGTAAAAGTTGCAAAACCTTGCCATGACACACCACATTTGCCATACCTGAAATTCCATCCATTTGTCCTTCTGACCAAACGCCTGCTCTGCCAAATGGATTCGACCCAGTTCTCTGCCACCTGCCGTGGGGCTGCTGCTGCCCCGGAGAGGGAGAATGGGCTCTTGCTCAGAGCAACCACGGCTGCTCCCAGCTGGGGCCGCCAGAGTGCAAAGGCTGTTGCCACGGGGCGGACACCGAGCCCCATTTCCTTCCTCTCCTCCACCAGCCTGGTGGCCCACTTAAGGGCTGTCAGTCCCTGTCAGACCTGGAGCCACCCCAGCCTCCTGCTCACAGGTCATGGGGCCACCTGTGTGTGCAGGTGAGCTCCAAGACTCTGTGCTCTTCGAGTGGCACTCAGAGCTAATGAGGGTCCCCACACATGCACGGTGGGACCAGTGCAGACGAGGTCAGGCCACTCTTCCTCTCTTATTGTGACCTGAGGCGGCACCAGCCTTGTTCAAGCCTCAACACCTTGTTCACTTTGCATCAACTTAAGGTGACTGTTGACCAAAACTCCCAGTCTTTCCATCACGGAGATGGGCAATTACATTTGTTTAACATGAAGAATATACGTAGCACTCTAGAAACCACAGAATTATAGTTTCTTGTACATCATTTTGGAAATTTTATATGCACAAACAAACATATAATAAAAATGCATATTATTTTAACCAAATGAGATGGGCCTCACATACGCTTTGACGCTCTGCTTTTTGACTTACAGCCTGGAGCTCCTCTCAGGTGACCACGCTCAGACCTGCCACCACCTTTCCAATTGCTATCAGGTGTTGCACAATAGGGATTTACTGAGCGTCACCGAGGTTCCAGGGTTTTCCTATCAAGGACAATGCTGCAGCGAACATTCTTAACCACCACCTTTGTGTGCTTGTGTGAGCACAGCCCTCGGACGAGCTCCCAGCAGGCGGACAGGTGAGTCGAGGGACTCAAACGCAATTTATTTTGAGCTTCCTTGTGGTACCTCGAGTTTATCCCTGGATCAGTCTTGTCCTACTGTTTTAATTTGTTGAGGACTTTTTGCTAATTCTACTTTCTAGTTTCTTATCTATAATTTGATCAGCTTGTCACATATGTCCTCATCTATGTTACAGGTGAAAATCCTGAATAGGACCAAACAGAGCACAGAAACATGGGACATGCCATCAGAGACCTCCCTCTGCTTTACGAGAACTGCTTTGAGGGGTCAAGAAGTCTGTGACTGTGCTGTGACCAGCATGACATAAGGCCTTCACCTCCGGGACCCCAATGCCTGGCGTGAACTGGCCTTTGCTGAGGTCCTCTCAGACCTCGGAGCTGCCGCCTGCCAGCTGCTGCCCACCCTTCCTCCTCGGAGCCCCCGTCTACGCCAAGGCCTGGTGCCCTCTCCCCAGTCTGAGGAGAGAGACCCAACGGCCCAGCTCCCTCTTCTGGCTGATGCCTGGGGAACACAGACAAGGAGGCTTAGGGACGGGAGCACCAATCCTGGCACAGCAGCCCCATGCTGCCCCTGTCTGGTGCTGAGGGCTGGGGCAGCCATTCCTCTTACAAGCCTGGACAGTGGGGGCTGTGCTGCCAGGCCTTTAGCTCAACTGCAGGAGGCTGAGCAAGCCAGGGGCTCCCCAAGAAGTCTGAGGCGGAAGAACAAGTACAGAGTTTGGGTCAGGCAGGCCTGTGTTAGATCTCACTAACGGTGGGAACTTAAACAAGCGTCTGCCACCTTTTCTGAGCCTCAGCGTCCTCAGCATAAAACGGAGACAGTAAGAGAACCTACCTCACAGGGATGTTGGGAGGATTCAGCCAATTCCTGTGTGTAAAGCATTTCACGTAATGCCTGGTCCTGGGCGGGGTGGCATGATCGGGGGAGGGCCGAGCCACGAACCAGGCCCAGCAGACCAGGGGTCCGGGTGACTCATACATGCTGAGGAGCCAAGAGCCCCATTCATCAGCAGCCATGGTCGGCTCTCAATAAATTAGTATTATTATTATTCCTAAGGGTGTGGGGGCAGGGAGGCCCTTTAGTCAGTTTGGAGCGTTCCCATGAATCAGCTTTTATGGGGATGATCCAAATAGACGCTACAGCCTGACCCTTGGGGCAATATCGCACCTGCCACCTAACTGTCCCCATGGCTGTTTCTATGGCATTTCTTTTAGTGGGAAAGACACAGGGACCAGATTGAAAGTTCTTGTCTGAAGCTGGGCCTAGTTCTAAGCTGAGCAGGAGGTGCCCTGTCTCACTGGAAAAGGCTGATCAAAAGAGGGGCCTGAGCCTAGCTGACAGGCTCTGAGGGAGGAGCGAGCCCTATTTCATACAGACCCTTAGTCCTAAGGGAGGCAGAGGGTATTTCAGGTGACAAGCAGGGTTTTGGTGACTTTACCTGAGGCCTGTTGCTTTTACATGCATCATCCAAATGCTTGTGCCACAGTATTGCATGAAACCGGGAGCCAGTCTGGAACTTGTAAACATTGCCTGACGGGTAGAGAAACCGCTGGTTAAGAAGAGGGTCACTCGGGAGGGTGTGCCTGTGACTGTGGCGTGAAGGTAAACGTGATCACGGTAACTCAATGAAGGGAGGTCAGGGGCAGCCCAAGGCAACCTTGGGGCTTGCAGAGGAGGAGCCCCCGGCACTCCCAGGCTGTCTCTTTGGACCAGGGCTCTGAACTATTTTTTGGGCCATGGTGCCTTTGGCTCTGGTGAAGCCTGTAGACTCTTCTCAGAATAATGTTTTCAAATGCATAAAATAAAATATAAAGGAAATCAATAATACTGAAATACAGTTATCAAACTACTAAAAAGCAAATGAGTGATGTGGTTCTACATGTGCTTTTCTTTTTGAGGAAGATTAGCCCTGACCTCACATCCGCCACCAATCTTCCTCTTTTTGCTGAGGAAGATTGTCCCTGAGCTAACACCTGTGCCCATTTTCCTCTACTTTATATGTGGACGCCTGCCACAGCATGGCTTGCCAAGTGATGCGTAGGTCTGCACCCGGAATCCGAACTGGCGAACCCCTGGCTGCTGTAGCAGAGTGCACGAACTTAACTGCCGCCCCGCCAGGCCAGCCCCGCACGTGCTTTCCATTAACGCACTAATAACAAGACCTAGGGGGCAGCTCTGCTACTGTACTGCTATTCAAAGAGATGAGCACGAATGACACATCCGAGATACCAGGACGTCTGTGGTTTCCCTTGCAGATAAAAATCACAGACATTGCGAACATTCTAGTAGTTTAATACTTATCATTAAAGAAGTTAGAGGTCAAGGAAAACAAAGACATAATTTTTTCCCACCCAAGTTCAGAGACCCTTGAATTCTATCCAAGGCCCCTGGCCACCTGCTGTGTCACATTTCCCTCTGCCTGACAGTGCTTTCCTCTGGACCAAGGCCCAAGAGTGGTCTGTGGTCCCATGGCCACAAGGTCTTTAAGTCAAGCTTGTGTAGGCCCAGCCTTTTCTTCCTAAGGAAACCACCTCAAATCTGGGCCAAGAGCCTCGAGGAAGAAACTCAAATGGTGATCAGACTGAGGACACGTTATGACGTGTGTAGCTGATGTGGGTTCAGTCACTCAGACGGAGAGCAGAGAACATGGCTCCTCTTGTCTCCGTTCCCTGGGCTCCTTGAGGCTCCTGTTTCTTCACTTCCCAGCTAACATTAGAACCCTGACAGTCAAGATGTGCTCTCTCGACCAGCAGCAGCATCTGCATTACCCGGGAGCTTGTTAGAAATGCAGCATCTTGGTCTCCACTCCAGATGTATTGAATCCAAAGCTGGAGTTTAACAAGAGCCCCAAGTGATCTGCACGTACACAAACCCTGAACCAGACCTGCCTGTGAAGGGGTGAAGGTGCCTGGAGACCTTACAGCCCCGCCGAGCTTGCCTGGAGAGAACCCAAGACCCAGGCAACTGGGGGTTTTGTCATGCGACATGGGCTACCAAGGAGACTAGCATGGCCTATTCTGAATGTCACTGCAGACAGGGGTCCTGGACCAGACGGCGTTCAGAGCTTTTTCTTTCCAGCACGGTCATGGGGTAAGGATAGAACCAGGGGGGACTGGCAGACAACTGGGCAAGTTAAAGATGGGGCTTTTGTAAAAGGGTTCTTCTCTGATTTGGCCTTGGACCAGGACCCTGCCAGAGTCTCGTGGCACAGGTAATGTCAGGGCATCCCTGAAATCTCCCAAGACCCTTTCAGCCACATGGTCTCTGCCTCATCCAGGACTAGGTTATTGATTCCAAGACCCTCAGGCTGTGGCTCCAGGGGTGATGGCACCAGTAGCTGTAGGTGAGGCCACAGAAAGGACTCCTGCAGCCACGTGCCATGCACACCACTCAGTGGACACACCGACCAGGATCTAAGCAGCTTTTTGGACCACTGAGGGGACCCTGTGAACATCAGAACCTAGAGCAAAGGGAAAGCAGCGGCCTCAAAAGTTCTACTATTTCAAAACCCACATTTAGCAGAGGAGGAAACAGGGCTGAGAGAAGCAGCAGCACCGGCTCCAGGCCCGTGGCCTACCTTTGTCGGGGTTGTTCAGCTGGAAGATATCTGGGTGCTCAGGGTCGTCAGGCAGCTGCACCATCCAGCCCACGATGGAGACCTTTTTGCCCGGTGTGGATTTATACTGGAGAGGAATCAGAGCACAGCTGGGGGGCCCATGCCCTCCACTCCTCAAGGAAGGCCGACGTGTGCCCCGCCACCGCCTTCCCCACCCCCACGTGCTCCCCTGCAGTTCACACCAGATGCCGTCCAGCACCCACAGTCCTTTCAGGGGCTTACGTGTTTCCGGTCTGTGCCACGCAAGGACTTGGCTCCATAATACAGGAGGGTGGATCCTGAGAGTATGACCCAGTACCTGGTCCACGAGGACAGCTACAGAGGAAGGGGAGGCAGAGTGACAAGACTGCACATGGTGGGGTGCAGTCTCCCCGCTGCCTGATTACAGACGCCGCCACGCGGGTGGAAGGGTGCCCCCACCTTGCCATCAGTGCCGGCGCAGGCTTCCTCTCCTCCCCCGCTCCACCTCCCTTCTCAGGGCCCCTCCACCCAGGGCTGAGAGCAGGGAGCCTCTCCTCATCAGTGCCTCTGAGTTCATCCACCCGAAGCCCCACCTCCCCTCTCCGCTCCTGTACTCAGAGCCTTTCCTCTTTCCACCTTGTCTATGGCAGTGCCAAGGCCCAATTTTTACATGTTCAGGTGACCTGGGCCCAAGAATGTCCTGGGGAAAAACATTTTTAAAACATAGACATGCTACACCACAGCCTAGAAGAACTGTAACGTCTGCGATGGGTTGCTCTGGCTGAGATGGAAGGGCAAGGCTTTTGAAGCGCTTATAGCTAGAAGGGGGAACAGCCCACAGGGCCAAGCTGCTTAGTTTCAGCTTCTCCAGGGCGACGGGTGGAATTCCCTGTTCGGGGCTCTGCTCCTTGGTTCGGGGAAAGTCACCTCAGTGGGCCTTTTGGTTCTGCAGGAAGGAAGAGGGTTGAGCGCACAGGAGCAGACTGCTCTGCATCACAATCTGCAAGGCCCCTCTTCCCAGGTGGGGCCGTGTCGCCGGGGGTGGTGATAGCTGTGCCTTTCAGACCTTTTTGACAACACCCACAGGTGTGTACAACACACATATATGCATATGTATGTCGAACTGAAAGAAGCTTCATGAAACAATACTTACCTTTACTATGTGAAAGGAACTCCGACATTTTCCAGTCTGTTCGATTTTATTCTACTCAAAAATATGGGGCATGAGCCATGGAACTGATTTCACTCCTCTCTACTGGGCCCACCGGCATTTGAGAAAATGCTGCTCTTAGCATACTCTCTCATGCTGGCCTCAGACTGCCTGGGGCCTGGACTCTGGATGCAGGAGAGAGGCAGGCAGGTCTGTGCACCAGGCCAGATATAGGGCCCCATGTCACAGGATGCTTTGGGACACTCTGAGCCCAAGGGACCGAGTGTGGTCCAGGGCTGGGGTGAAGACTCTCCTTGTTACCCACGAACCACCTGGCACCTGAAGACAGGGGAGCGTCTGGCACCTGGGCTGGGGGGCTGGCATCTTCACGGTGGGCGTTGATAGGAGGGGCATCTCCAGTGGCTCTGTGGGTAGTGGACAGGGGCGGGGAGGGGCCAGAGCAGGAGAGGAAGGGCAGAGCGGCACAAGCAGAAGATGCCTGGAGATGCAGCTCACAGGTGGGTTTGCTGGCAGCCTGCGGAGGCCGCTCCGGGGAAATCACAGTGAGGCCTTTGCAAGGGGCTGAGGCCCTGCTGTGGGTGGGGGTCATGGAGCCAGCGACATCTGGGTCCAGCACAAGTGACTCGGGGACTAGTGGTGGAGCCTGAAGGTCCCCCTGATCCCTTGTCCCTGTCCTCTCCACCACTTGTTTTATGATGCTGGTGGAAGGAGAGAGGGAATCTGCATCTGGGAATTCCGTGCAGGCTGACCTTCTCAGGGGCAGTGTCCACCCTAACTCCCAGGGTCTCCGGGCTTCCACCTGCAGACCCTGTTCACTGCATGCGCACTGTGTGCACTGCTGCACACATGATATTCTTGCCAAATCCTGTAGGACACAGGCACTATTTTATCCCAATTCCAAATGTGGAAACTGAGGCCTTTGCCCACTTGGTGGCACAGCCAGGGCCTGAACCCTGGGTGGCTGGTCTCTGGGGCCCAGGCCCCTCACTGATGCCCAGGCCTCTTCTGGATGGACGTGCGTCTGCACTCACCGCAGGCTTCCGTCCCTCCTTGAGCAGAGTCTTCCTTCTCAGAGGCCCCTCCATGGTGGGCACTGCTGCTGAGCTCCCCAGCGTACAGATGCACGGGCCGGTGGGGCTGAGGGGAGACCACTGGTCAGATACTGCCCTGGAGGAGCTGACGTCGGCACCCTCTCACTCTCTGGGGCCCACGAGTCCCCCACTGCCAAGTCTACAATGCTGCCACAGGCCACAGGACTCAACAGTGCAGTGGCAAGGCCAGGGAGGCCCGAGGACACAGAGAGCATTGAAGGAAGGTGGCTCTGGGCTCACCCACAGCTGAGAACTTTTGCCTCTCTCGTCTTTCCGAGCGCTGCAACACTCTAGCCTTGGTGACCAGGTTCCCTGTAACCCAGGCCTCTGGCAGCACCCTCACCCTATGCTGACCTCTGCTGTGGCCTCCTCCTGGCTGCTCCCCTGGGCTCCCGCCTGTGGGCTTCCTCTCCACCTGGGGAGCTTGGGGCCCAGGCAGCCCCTCCTTCTTGTGTTGGCAGGAGTCTTGGAGGAGCAGTGAGGCAGGGGAGAGGCTGGGTGGAGTGAGAAGGGGCAGCGGGCCCACACACCGCCTCACCCTGCACCTTTTCCTCAGGGCTCCGCTCACCCTCTGCCATGGGGATTCAGGCGCCACCTGGAGGTGAAGACGTCCAAGTGCAGCACCAGCCCAGCCCTCTCTCCCGAGCTCCAGCCCTGCACGCAGGAGCTTCTGCTCACTGGATAGGCACCTCCCTCGAGCTGGCAGCGCCTGTCCCTCAAGAAACTCTTCCTCCACAGCCCAGTGAACAGCACCACCATCCACCTGGCTGCTTGAGCCAGAAACCTGGGAGTTTTCTTCTCTTACCCCTCTGCCCCTGCAACTTAATCAACACCAAGGATGCATTGATCCTATGTCCTAAATCTGCCTGACTGTCCCTCTCAGCCATCCCACTCCCCCCCACCTTAGGCCAGAGCTTGATCTTCCCTTGAATGACTGTCTGATGCCCTCCCCTCCCCTGCATCCACTCTTGCCTTCCTCGAGTGCTCTCTCCACACTGTGGCCAGGATGACCTGGTCATGTCCCCATCCTTCCCCCTACCCATCCAACTCCTCAGTACTTTTGAGACTACCATCCTTACCCACTGCTGGACATGGCTCCCTCCCACCTCTCCAGCCTCACTTTGCACCCCTCTCCCCTCTCTCATTTCCTGCAACTCTGCCTTTCCTTCACTCATGGAGTCATCCTGCTCTTCCGGCCTCAGGGCCCTGGGGGCTGTCCCTTGGCTGGGGCACCCCTACTGCCTGTATGCCTCCCCTCCCTGTGTTCGGTTAGTCCCTATCATTCTTCCAGGGAAGCCTTCCCTGTTCTCCCCTTCCAGGGCACCCCACCTCCTCTCTGGGACCACGGGCATCTGTGACTTTCTGTTCCGTTTCTGTCTCTCCTGTAGCAGCAGCCTCACGGATTGTAGCAGAGGCTGTGTCCGCCTCGTTCGCAGCCTCTAGCACAGTGCTTAGCATCCAACAAGCACCCTATAGCTATTTGCTGAATGACTGAACACACAAATAAACAAATACCTGTAGACACAGCTCCGGGTTCTGGGAGAATTCCGAACTGGAACCCGCCAATTGGGCCCCAGCGTGGCATAGAGACGTCCCCTGCTTCAGAGGAAAAGGGTTGAGTTTTAGCAACAGTGTGGAAAGACCAGAAACTCCAAAGGAGACAAGAGCATCTCAGACTGTGGTCACTAGCTCAGGAAGCCCCAACCCCAGCTCTACCCCCAAGCCTCCTCGGTCACACTGCAAGCACATCTGGGGCACAGCTGGAGATGCCAGGTCAGTGAGCACAACATCCCAGAGCCTCCATCTGGGCAAGTCCCCAAGTCTCTGGGTAATTATTTCCTTAACTTTTTAACTAAATGTTTACCCTTCTTCTAGTGTCAAGGGGATGACTAAAATCTGGGCACACCCACTTACCCCAATGTGAGGCTGAGATGTTTAATAGAAAATGCAGTACAGCCCAAATATTCCATGGTAAATCCAATTAAAAGTGCACACACAGACACAGGATTGTGGGCAGCCTTGCACCTCAGGCCCGGGGGGGCAGATGCAGCATCACCATTCACCAGGGCACAAGTGAATTCCTCTGTTTGCTTTGCCGTCTCCACCGACAGTCTCCTCTGCTGGCCCCAGGTGGTCCCCTGCAAACCTGCTCTGCGACCTGCTGCTGCGTCCGAGAGCTGTGCTCCAGGATCTCTCGTGGGCTGCCCATCTGGCTTCTCTCTCACCTGCAGTTCCCCAGCAGTGAGCTTTCCAGGGCAAGGTGGGCCTTCCAGGGTAAGCAGGAAGCTTAACCTATTTGGAGGGAAGCTTCCATCTCTCTCTCTCTTCTCTTTATCCTTTCTTCTCTTAGGAGAATGACTTCCTCTGTCCACTTGGTCCTCAACCTTCTCTCCACCCCTGCAGCATGGTCCATCCCTGGGCTATAGCTTACTTTGCCCATTGGCCAAACAATGCTGTAACCCAATTTACAAAGCCAGATGAGGTTCAGACTTCCTTTTCAAATATTACCTCTGTTCTCCACTGCCAGTCCTAGGTTGCTGAATATTGCCCTATGGCAATGGACACCTGTGGGTGATGTGGGGACGTCCTCCTTTATAGCAGCAGTGCATCAAACCATAACTGAGCTCAGGTTCCTCCATGAGGGGACTGCCTGACCCTCCATCCTCCACTCAAGAAGAAACTGTTGTTGATGGCCGTCTTAGGTCTGTTGTCCAGGGGCTCAAGTTCAGGGCTGGTGGGAGTGTGGTGGCAATCTAGGCAATCTAGGTGGACTGCTCCGGGATCCCACACCTTCTGCCCATCAGTTACTCCTCTTTAGGTGATAAAAAGCCGCAGCCTGTGCTTGGCCCCCCAAGTCATCGAATGCGACAGGTCTTGGACCTTTCCCCATCACACCCCCATGGCAGATGAAGGTCACAGGCTGATCCCACCCCTACCCCCACCATGAGCTGTGACACAGATGAGGCCGTGGCATGCCCAGCTCCCAGCCCACAGGCCAGATTGCCCTCTCCCTCTTCCATTCAGAAAGAGGCTTGCGATGCAGTGATTAAACATGACACGCTACAGATAACGATGAACCTGCTCTAATGAATGAAAAGCTTCAGTACTTTCACCATTACTGGCAACACCCGGGGAGCACCTCGCGCCATGCGTGTTCAGCAGGCTGCTCACAGGGATCACTAACAGCCGGCCTCCAGGGTCGCTTTCCTCCCCAGCCAGAACCGGGGATTTCTTATGAGTCAGGGCAGGGTCTGAGAGTGAACTTTCCTGCGGTCACATCCCGCATGCCCAGAGGACGTCTCCTTGTTTGGTCTGGACTCCGGCTCTGAGCCGCCGCCTGTCTGGAGTTGGAGTTCGGGTTGGAGCCTCCCTCCCCAGAGCTGGATCCTCTGGCCCCTTCTCCACCTTTCTTCTCAAGAGTCTTGTTCCCCTGGGATCCCAGGAAAATGTGTGATGGGTGGGCCGTCCACAATTACTAGTAGCTCCACGAACAGGGCAATGCAGTCAGTGCTGCCACCTTTTCTCCATCATCTCTCCCCTTTGTGAGATTGTCTGTGGCTGCATGCTTAACAGATGTCTGGCAGGACTGACGCTTGTTGATGGAAAGCTTTAAATCAGCATTTTCCAACCAGTCTAGCCTTTTCAGCAGTCTTTCCTCATGTTCTTCCTAAAGGAGTGGGGTGCTCCCAAGTGCATGGGCTGTGGGGGTGTGCATGGACACCAAGGTCACTGGGCAGCTCAGGGAAGAGTTAGTAGTGACCAAGTGCTCATATGCGCTGGGCCTTTGCACTCCTTCTCTCACTGGAGCTCTAAGCACCATTATCCTCCCCAGAATGGGGAAACTGAGGCTCAGGGATGTGAAGACACCTGACCGAGGCATGAGCCTAGTAAGCTAGGATTTCAACCCAGGTCTGTTTGACTCTATAGCCCGAGCTCCTCCAACACCTCTCAGGGTTGGGGAGAGGCTGAGGAGTCGCATGTGGCTTATGTGTCACATGTGCCTCCTATGGAGTCTGGCACAGGGACTGGGTCCATGTTTGGGGCCAGCATCGTGTGGGTGGCCTCCTGGCATTCTGCTCTCAGAAGCACCACTGTTGTCGGTTTCTGCCGCAGCTCACACTGAATGGGCTTTGTCAGTGTCTGTGAGACTGGATGGCCACAAAATTCTTAGGCCTGGATCTCCTGGGGTGGGGCTACCTCCCAGGTCTCTGATCCTTGGCTTCCTGATGGAGTATTCTCCTGGTGGTTTTGGCTGCCTGGCACTTAGGAGCAGTTGCCATTTCTCAACTGCTGACTATGAGACAACTAAGTGCTTTCACACGCCATTCCTCCCAACTCTGTGAGGGGCACTGTTCTCACTCTCTTAGATGAGGAAACTGAGGCTCAAGGAGGTGAAGCCACCTGTCCCACCCCACTGGCCCGTCATTAGGGAGGGAGATGCAAGTACCCACAAAGGGCGGCTTGCTTTCCCATGTGAGTGGAGGGTCCAAGTCAGTCAAGCTGCTCCAGGTGGGGGAACTCAGAGCCTGCTCCCCCTGGAGCTTGGGGGGTGACACTGGCCTTGAAGGATAGTATAATGGTGACTTTTCCCCGAGGCCAGCTTTTAGGGGGAAAGAGTCAGGGTTGTAGTGGCCAGCCTTTCCTCTCAAGGTAAGCCCTACAGGGCTGGAGGAGGTGGGGCGGCTCTGGCTGGGCCCGGGCAGGCTAGCATCAGCACAGAGGGGCAGGATCTTCAGCCACCAGAACCAGACAATCTGATCACTTCCCTGATTTCAATGTTCAGGGTCAGAAAATGCAAAATAAACAGGCAGTGGTATCTGGTAAATTCCAGAAATCATGTGATTTCTCTGACTGACACGGGAACTCCTACTCCAGAACCACAGACACTTTTCCAAGCCTCTTGCTGGGAACATGTGGCTCAACAGAATGTAACCCAGGAAGGCCATTTCACTGTTCAGGGATGGGTCCTGGAGGGTGGCAGGGAGGAGGGTGGCAGCAGGCAATCCTCCTCATGGGAAGTCTGATCTGGAGAAGATGTAGGCTGGCAACCAAGAACACCTCAGTCCCAAGGGTGTGCAAGAAGAAGAAGAAGAAGATGATGATGATGATGATGATGATGATGGAGATGATGATGATGGAGATGATGATGATGGAGATGATGATGATGGAGATGATGATGATGATTATGGGGATGAAATGAAGAAGAGGAAGAGGAGGATGGCATGAAGGGGATGATGGGATGATGGGGATGAAGGGGATAACGGATGCTGGGCAATGTGCTAAGCAGTACTTCTTCATTATCTTGTTTAATCCCACAACACTGTGAGGCAGGCGCCATTCTTATTTCCACCTTATAGATAAGGAATCTGAGGCTTGGGGAGGGGGAGTAACTTGCCCAAGGTCACAACACTACAGAGAAGAAGACTGGGTTGTGCTGTTGGGGTGGAAGCAGCCAGGGTCCTGCTTGGGCCAACTGCAACAGGAGAATTCAGCCTACCCAAGGCGGGTCTGAAGGGCATCTCCCCCTCAATAGTTCTCTAGGCACACATTAGGTGCTAGGTATCTTGGGGGTGAAACTGCATACAGCCCTAAGTCTCTGTTGCTGGACTAGGAAAGTGGGGAGCAGGGAGAGGTCTTGGATAATAATTACATTGAGGCCTCAGTAATCTTGTCTTAGCAGAAGCAGGGACTTCTCAATTCTTCCATCTCAAGTGCTGTGCATCAGCAGTGTCCGCCTGCACCAGCAAAGCCCTGATGGGAAGCCAGGGCTTGGTCTTGGCCGCTTCCTGATAATGCGCCCTCATTTGCAGGCAGGAAGCTGCCACCCTGAGTTCTGCTGGGGCTGGGAAGTCTCTTCCAGCAGCACTTGTTAAAGGACTTTTCCTGCCTGTGCTTCACTCATTCTTCTCTGGGCAAGGTCCCTGATCCACTGAGTGGTCCCCAGGAGCCATATTTGTTCTGAATGTTTAGCTGAGTGGACAGAACAACACCTGATCCAAGCCAGGTCAATCAGATTTTCCCTTCTGGCAAGTAGGAACCAGATTTGAGAGATTGAAAGTCAGGCTCTGCGGGCCGGGTGAAGCTATAAAACGTAAACCTGGGAGCTGTGAGGTGTCCATCTTCCCCTCTGTGAGCTGAGAAGTCTAGAAATCTGGTCTGCAGAGAGAGAGGGGAGTATGGCCGATATACACAGAGAAGGATGGACACAAGACAGCAGGAGACTCCTCCCCACTTCCTAGGACCTGACTCAGAGGGTTTGTAGTATTGGACAGAGAGGCTGTGAGCAGAGATTTCTCAGCTACCTGTGAAGCTGCAGCAGCTAGTGGGCAGGCCTAACCCTTGTCCACTGGGGCCCAAGGTCAGGGTCAAGCAAAAGATCCAGGGACCACTGCCTACTGTTCTCTCTCAGAGGGGCCTGAACTCCTGGTGGAGCCTCACTTGCTAGGCTTCAGTGTCTGTTGCGGGGAGCAAGGCAAGAGACGTTTCCTTTAGGGGAAACCAAAATCAGAAGCTTGGCACATCATTCAACTGGGCTGCCACTCGAGGCAGAGGCAGAAGGGAGGCACAGAGCAGGATGGGCTGGGGAAACAGACTGAGGA